CCATGATAACAGTTACTCACTATTGAATCATAAGAATCTTTTTATTCCTGTTTCTTTTAACCAGAACCATCTAAACAAGATGAAAACTATTCAGTGGTGACTCTTTCTTCCCCCACACATTCTTAAACTAAACTCTCTTGTGAAAGCTTGTAAGCCAGTAACTTTGTGAAAGCTTGTAAGCCAGTAACTTTGTGAAAACTTGTAAGCCAGTAACTTTGTGCCTTTATTGCCCCCTCATTTTAGGTAGCCAATATGTAAGTTGCCTGTCCCATATTGTTGATTTTCAGTTTTATAGCATTGTGGACTGAAAAGATGCTTTGTAATATTTTGATGTTTATACATTTATGAAGCCTTACTTTGTGATCTAACACATGGTCAGTTCTGGAGAATGTTACATGTGCACTGGGAAAGAATGTGTATTGTGCTATTGTTGGGTTGAATGCTCTGTACACATCTGTGAGGTCCATTTGGTTGATTGTGCTGATTAGTTCCTTTCTCTATCTTTGTCAAGTTTCTTTCTGGTTGTTCCATCCCTTTTCGAAAGTGGCATATTAAAATTCCCCACTATAATTTTAGATTTGTCTATTTCTTTCTTCAGTTCTAGTAGGGTTTGCTTTATATATATTGGTGCTCTTTCATTGGGATTGTAGATATTTATTATGATTATGTCATCTTGTTCAATTGACCCTTTAATCATGAGATAAGTGTTCTTCTTTATTTCTTATGCTGGTTTTTGCCTTAAAGTTTTTTTTTTTTTAATCAGAGATTAGTGTTGCCACCACTGCTTGTTTTTTATTGCTTTTAACTTGGTATATTTTTTTCCATCCTATAACTTTTAGTCTGTTTTTGTCTTTGTGTGTAAGGTGTGTCTCTTGCGGGCAGCCTATTGAAGTATCTTGTTTTCTTATCCTTTCTGCCACTCTCTTCACTGGTGCATTTAATCCATTGACATTTAGTGTAATTATGGATGTTTTTGTAGGAATTAATTGCTCTCATTATGTTAATTTTTTTTGTGGTGCTGTTCGTTCCTTTGTTCTCTATGCCTGCTTGTGCTGAGTGCATGTTTTATGTGGTATTTTTTGTTAGTTTCTTCTTAGTTTTAATGTTTCCTTGTTCTACTTGGATCTTAATTTAATGGTAAGTTGTGGAGTATTAACTTTCTTTGAGGCTGCCCTATAGTCTATTAACTTTTTCCTCTATTTAAGACAGTCTGTTGTGTCCTGCAATCTACCTGACCTCCTCACCACCTGGATCTCTGTTCCTATATTTTTCCCTTCTTTGACATTGTTAATATTTTGATCTTTGATTGACATCACAGGTTCTCTGAATTCATTTTTGTAATTTTGTTCTGTTCTGAACTCTGCTATCTGTCGACTGAGTTGAGTTCCAGGTCTAACCCTTCATATTTATAATTAGACTGGAGGTACTGCTATACAGCTGAAATCACTGAAGCTTTTATATTTGCTTTTTTTTTTAGGTTTTGAAAAATGGCTGATAATTTGGATGAATTTATCAAAGAACGAAAAGCCAAACTGGCCAAAGACAAAGCAGAGCTGGAAAGTGATCCACCTTACATGGAAATGAAGGTAAAATTACTATGTTTCTTCCAACTTGTTTAATATTAATGGCAGTTAATGTTAAGCGCCATCAAGTCAGTTCTGAGTCATAGGGACCCTGTAATATGGTTTTCAAAGAGCAACTGGTGGGTTTGAACCAGCAACCTTATGGTTAGCAGTCCAGTGCTTATTCTACACCATCGCACCAGGACTCCAATATTAAATGCTAGCTCTGCATAAAAATTTGAAGCACCCGCTCATCTATGAGAATCTTCTGTTTCATACTTCAGTTTTCAGAATATGTTTGCTACCATGCCAGCTCTGAGAGCTTGACTCTAGATAAGAGTTCAGCAATTTTCAGTGCAAGTTTTTTCTTTGTGGTGTTTTGTATCTTGATACAAAAACCTTTCTTATTAAGAGTTTTAGTTCATAATTTGTGTATTTTGTAAAATGATGAGGAGACTGATTCTGGCACAAAGAACTTTGAAAATATAAGCAGAGTAAATGTAAAAGCAAGTTCTCATATTCTGTGTGGCAAATGTCCCATTTTTTTTCTTTAGACTCTGCAGAGTGAGTTTATAAAGGGTACTTCCTTTTATTTTGTAAAATTTGCGTCTTAAAATATGTTTGTTTAAATGATTGTTTATCAAAGTAATATCTGACAAAAGTTTTCTTAAAACTTTTCTAGTTTTGGTGTGAGGGTGATTATCATTTAGCAAATATTTATTGAGTCTGTGGTCAGTACTGGCTCTTAGTTCCGAGAATACTGCCGTAATCTAGAAGCTGTGGAGAGTTTTCCCATGAGCATGTGATATGATATATGCGAACAGTCTGTGCAACAGTCCATGCAATATGGTCCATCATAACAAGGCTAATCATACATATTAATTTATCCAAGACGATCTGTATTTGTTCCAGTCTTTTCAGTGTTTCATCTGGTTTAGCATTTGTCTTGGACAAAGATATCCTTGTCGAGGATAACTTATATAGATGTTCTCATTGTAAAGCTAACATTTACTAGAGTGTTAACTATGGCCCACTCATGATTTTAAGAGATTACATTTCTATTTCTCAGTAAATAAGTACTGCTACTCTCATTGTCCCAATGAGTAAACTGAGGCATAGAGAAGACTATGATGGAGACTAAGGTGATCGTGGTGAAGCTAGGATTTGATGTCTGGCAGCCTGACTCCAGGACTTTGCCTTTTAACCACTGTGCAAGGTTATCTTTCTTCAAAATTAGCTGCTATGTAATACTTTGTATATGTCATCTCATTTAATCATAATTATGCCTGTAAAGTTAGCAAAATACTTTGTTTTACAGAGCAAGAAACTGAGGCTTTAAAGGGGTTAATAATTTGTCCAAGTATACACTGTGGTGGAGTTAGTATTTGAATAGACTCCAAAGACTATGTTCTTAAGCACTCTGCATTACTTAGGACTAGCTTATAATGTTTGGAGAGAGTTGCTGTGTAGTTTTTTAAAAAAATTTTTTGTGTGAATTATGTGATAGTTTACATGGGAAAACATTAGTTTTACATTCATCCTGTCGTATATCGTTTCATTGCCATGGTTACAATCCCCTCCATGCATCGTCAGCCAACCAAAGGGTATACCCTACAAGCCTGTGCCCTCCCCCCCCCCCCCAGTAGTCATCAGCACACAGCCCCTCTCCCTCTCTGGGTCTAAAGTCCCCAGCTGCTCCATCTCTCCACCACATAGTCATTGCTTCCATCTCTGGCATCACTGCTTCTCTGGGTAGGGTCCCGCTCTCCATTCTTCTCCCTTGATAGTCCCAGGGACCTCTGCTCCTAGACTGCAAAGTTAATCACTTCCCTCCTTGCTTAATCATTCCCCTCCTTGCTACAAAACATCTACGTTTACATTTCCAATCCTCACAATCAGTCCTGATAACAATTATTCACTATTGTATCACAAGAGACCTATCCGCATTTCCTTTCATCAGCCACACCTAGATAGATTGGATACTACTCAGGGGAGATTCTACCTTCCTCCACACCTTCTGGATCTAGGTTCCCTCTTGAAAGTTTGTAAGTCAGTCATTCTTGCCTTTGTAACCCCCCCTCCCCGCCACTTTGGGTAGCCAATGTCCAAGGTGTCCATCCCTGTCTACTCTGTGTATGGAGTGGGTGGGAATGATCCTTGATGTAAGGATTTATTCCCTTTTTGAGCTACTGCATCCATAGGTGTAGTTCAAGTTCATCAAATTATATCAGATTAGTCTTTTTTTCCTCTTCTTCCTTCTTCTAGTTGAGCTCTGACCATCCAGTCATTGAAGCCAGGATAAGTGAGTATTATCTGCAAGTGTGTGTGTTCTTATGCATATGCCCTCTCTTCTTATCAGCTGGATGCTTCACTCTCCATTCTAGTCCTCTGTGGCTGTCACTGACTTTGGGCCAAGAGTCCCCAGGTCTTGCCACACTGCTGGACAACCAGGTCTCCACCTGGGTTCACAGGAGTCTATTGAACTTTGTAGGGCTTAACTTGCAGCTTCATTACTGTTTTTCCCTCACTTTCCCTTATAGGTAACGAACGTGGTCACCAATCAGAGCGTGTATTCCCATTGAGTCTTAGTCTTGGAAGGGCGTTTTCTCTGAGGGGACCCGACCACTTGCCTTGATGTCTCCTGGGCGAGCAACTTTCTTGTTCTTGTAGTAATCATTTGGTCTGCCTATGTTGTTTTGTATTTTTCCTGTTGGTCTTTCTTTGAAGAAGTATCTTCTGTTCTGGCTGCTCCAGGCTGGTCTGCTTGTCCTTTCAAGTAGAAATTTCCCATCTCTGAAGATTCTGGATGCTGTTCAGGATTCCACCTATAGTCTTATGTAATGCATTGGCTCTGCAGGAAGCCTCCTTCACTGAGCACGTTGTATCCCCCTTTTAGGTATTCCAATCAGTTATAGGCAGAAGACAGACTTACAAGCTTTCTGTGGTGATGTTTCTGGCTAGTCCTTTCTCCCCTGCTCCAGTGTCGATTTTATAATAGTATGCAAGGGAAACCAAGATTCAAAACACAGCCAAGCTTCTTGATATTATTTCCCCCCTTTTGCCCATTCCAACCACGTCTCAATCTCTGTATCCCAGAGCCCTGTAGTTCCAAAGTTGTGCATACATCATTATTTACCTCTGTCCCACTTAGCCCATGCAAACCTGCCTAATTGTTCTCTCATCTGCTTTGTTCTTCCATTCCCCACCCCCTTCTTGTATATTGCCCCCCTCCCCAGCACACAAACTATCCTGTGTCTATTCCCTACCCTGTGTTCCACCTTCTCCTCCCTCCCTTCACCCCACTCCCCACATCCCAGCAATCAGCAAAGAATTCCCCCCATCCCCCTTTAGGATGGGTTCTTTTTCTTAGTCTTTTACAGTAGTGGTCCTATGCAGTATTTTTCCTTTTGTGACTGACTAATTTCACTCAACATATTGTCCTCAAGGTTCATCCATGTTATGTGGTGGCTTGCAGTTTTCTTGATATTCTTCAGGGTAGCATAACATTCCATTGAGTATATGTACCACAGTTTGTTTATCCATTCTTCCATTGATGGGCACTTTGGCTGCCTCCATCTTTTTGCTATTGTAAATAGTGCTGCTGTGAACATTGGTGTG